AGGGCTTGCGTGGACACATGTCAGTATCGTACATTGAGCTGAGATGACCCCTAAGATTCATTGCAGTTTAATTCATTGATAAAGTCTCACGTGACAACCAAATCTTGTTCAAGGAAACCACAGAGGATTCAATTTATGGTAGACAATTTTTGCTGGTTCCCTGTTTCACCATAATGTGTATCAACAACGAGAGTTTCTGAAATCCCACACGGCCCCTTCACGGCGCACGCCCATTGTAGTACGATGTATCTTCGGCAACATTGAACTCAGCATTTTAGAAACGAAAACAAATTCGCCTAAGGTTACGCAGGTACCCTCTTCACGCCGGGAAATTTGTGAGTATTGGGTTGTTACATTCTGGCAATAACACACAAAGCTTGGTGAACATTGGTGGAGGAAAAGTCTACGGGATAAGGATAAAATGATCGCATAATTCTGATCCCCCTTACGTAAGAAGCGAATACATAATGTAACGGTCTAGAAGATACTCTCAACCATTCTATTTAGACATCCACAGTATAAATGCTGCTCATGAAAATTGCAACTATGAGCCGCCAAACAACATGGAGACGGCTTAAACATTAATGCTCACTGTGCCGAGGCATTGCTGTGGTGTAATGAGGGGCAGCCAGTGCCGGTTGTCCCATTATCTCCAGGTACAAAGACCACCACGTGTAAACACAAATTGCTAAACTTCACATCATAAATTACACTGGAACATGTCTAAGAAGTGGTGAAATATTTCCAAAGGGTTCTTAGGGAGACTTAATCACTTGTGCAAATAATCCAAACCCAAGGAAGTCGAAATTGAAATGTCGTGCTAAATCAAAAACAACCATCCGACGATCCAGCAAGAAGGGAATTTGTTTTAGAATGGATCAGCGTGTAAGAACAATAAACAGAATTATACATGTACTTGTGTAGAACAGACAATGTGTTGCTTATATTCATGAAGGCTTATGATATTGCGGGTTTTGGGGGGGTTGAAGGAGTGTACTAGGAAATAATTATTGTCTTAGAAATTCTCAGTTTCAGTGTGGGTCCGCTGGAGAAATTAAAAGCTACTTTTAGCCACGGAGTTTGGGTGCAAGTCGAATAACGCCTATTATTCGGTTATGACACCAAACGTTCCATTCAGTATGGAACTACTTAAGTGTTTGACCACCCGGATCAATTAATCGATCATTCGGCTAATTACATACCGATCACTGCATATTCGCTTACTTCATCTGATAATTTCCAGCAAAGGTCTGTTTCTTAATCATCCCTTTATTTCCTGGATCGGATTACTGAAACCTGGCAGTACAACCCTCGACCCTCAAAATCGTTGACACATTCAAATAAAAGAGTACAAAGAAGTACGTTAAAGCCTGAGGTCAGCTTTGGTGAATAACCACGGGCCTTACTGAAAAGATCCGAGGGCGAGTCCGAATGAAATTAATGATAATCCATTAAAAATTATATAACATGTAACAGAATGAACCTGTAGAGTTCGCACCGAACGGACATTAGGCCTGCCATAGGAGAGGCCCAACATCTCTTTATACCAGACTTAACAAAGGACATAACAATGGTTCCCGTGTACGCCAAAGACTTGGGAAATTTTAATGCGGTTGAACTTCACATTTAAACCAGAACAGCATAGTTCATTTTGTGCATAGGTCAGGCCATTCTCGATTGGAGAACAGCGTTCCTTTCGACGTGTAACTACCCTTTGACTGTGAAACAGAATTGGAAAAACGCAAGTGAAAGCTAACGTTGGGATATAAAATTAGAAATAAATGTCATTTCGTTTTCACAATAAACAGATCAATGTCAGTCTTGAAGATGAGAACGTATACAAGAGTACTATGCCTCACGAAGGAAATGGGTTGTCGACAAAGACCATTGAAAATGAAATAGACAATTATTAAGCATTTGTAATTTATTCCAATATTCGGGGAGACCAGCAATTGCTCAAAGTTAGCCCATCGCTAAGAATTTGAACAGCTTGCACCTCGATCATCAGCGTCATAAAAATCCATTTTTATCACTTGAAACGTGAGCTCATGTTAACATATACCCCCTGACAACATGAGGCGATACAAAACAAACAGCTGTCAACGGACATCTGATCTTGTTAAATGTCAAAGGTCACACCGCCATGTTCCTTGGCCTAATTAGTGCTACGCACTGCTACTCTAAACACACCAGTTTTCTCAGTTCAATCATATTTAGGCCTACGTTCTCGAGTATTTGTTATTTAAATTATTTGATTCTGACTGTGATTACCGTCAACTGATCACAACAATGTTTTACATATTCATATCTGTGTTTTTATCTCATTATTTCACGATTTTATGGAGATGATAATGCTGTACTTAAGGATTAGACAATCACGACAGCTGTGTGGCATTCAGAGAATGTAGCTGGATGAAGCAAGCTTAGATTTGCTTCGTATGTGAACAGTGGGCAAGAAATTTGGGAGCTTCTAAGTTCTAAGGTTCTCATTAAGGGAACCAATACGGCTGGAAACATGCAGAACTTGTAAACGACTCAGGCCTAAATTGACTACTTTAGAATGCCTTCCCCAAACCCCCAGGCTCCCAAAACCAACAAAAGTGGGAGTTGAAATCTCCCCGATACATCGTTTTTTATTTAATTATTTCTTTTTCGTTCCACAGTATACGCTAAAAAATGTCCACAACAATCATGTTGGGCAAAGCCGTTTTTATTATACTCATCACGGTCGGAGTTCTTGAGTTTGTCTAGATCTTCGACATGAACCAATCAGAAATGTTTTGTGGATGGGAGCTCTTTCAGGATATGTACATGTCAATTCGTCAGTGCTCACATCGTTTGCACGGCGGGACGTATATTAATGAGACGTTAAACCCCTAAATCCGTTTGTAAAATAGCCCCAGGCCACCATCAATCAATCTTGGATAAGTTTTGCCAACCTCTCTTACAAGCGTCTTCCGACTTTTGACGTTATTTCATTCAGGTTATGGTAGGAAAAAAAGTACGAAAATGTCACTGAAAATTGAGAACGACGAAGAAATGTGTGCGTTGCAGAGCTTACCAACGTGTGTGTGAGAACAGGTGCTTACTTATTTGAAGCTTGAATTAATGGTCTTTTATTTTAAATGTAATATTTTGACGAGGAATGTTTGACACGAAGTGCAAACGTTTCTTTTATCACTTGAATATTTTATGTATCATCAGATAAGTATTCGGCCCGGTGCAAAACACGATAATCGAAAATTAATTTTTGTCCAAAAGCTGGTGGACATACTTTTGCACATTTCTGCGGAGTCCTTTTCAATCGTTTGTCTGCAAAGGTAGAAAGTTTAAAGGTCGGAATCGATCACCAATCGTCTTCCGTTTCCTCCTTTCAATGAATTTACTACTCATAAGAGGGGCTCGCGACTACTTTGGACGCATGGGCACAGGGTGTGAGGCACAAAGATAGGACTAACAAGGACAATAGCGGATGCATTATCATAAAGCTAAGACGGTAAATATTCAGTGTGATGACTGGGGCACTTTTAATGAGCATAAAACGTGACCGCATGTAGGCTGAGCAGTTAGTGGTTGCTAGGCAGTGGGTGAGAGAGATAAAGTGTCGCTTGAAGTCTGCGTACTAAACCCAAATAGCACGACTGAAAAAGTCCATGCACCGCCGGAGCTTTCATCTTCAGCCGCCACTTCAAACCATGTTCAGACAACCGCACAGTCAAAGTTGTAAAAGAGAATCCAAGCTTGATTCGTTACCATAGACAAAGACATCACCCAGATATCTTTCTGATCATCACACGATGTGCGAATCGTGCCGTAGTGAAATGAGGTGAAGTCGTAAACGAGGCAAAAACAAACAGGGAACTGTGAATTTCCTTTCAGGGAGAGAAAAATATGAGAGGATTGACGCTGCTATAAACTGTTTCCCTAAGGCTCCCTTGACTACAAATGCAACTGAATACTGTTATTCTCCCAGTGGGCCTTTGCTACAGTAGAGTTCTATTGTAAGTGAAGTACAGCTGTGTAATTTTGTGTAAAGTTGACTTAGTAACCTAAGATTTCGTTAACTAAACAGAGATGTTGGGCTAAGAGAAATAATGAACATTGATTCCCCAACCAATCCCCTCAGTTTAAAAGCTAAAATTCGTAAGTTGAAGGTACATGATAGAAACTTATACGTCACATCAACGGGTTATTGTTCTGTTGTTTGGTTTTGTTGACGTCCTCATACAAATAGCAAATAAGCATTTCCGTCTGGAAAGTTAATGTCAGCGTTACGGTTACGCAGCGAGTTGCTAAAAGGTTGTTGTTCAAGAACGAAACTGCAAGGAACCACAAATTCAATAAATAATTACTCAACCGGTATCGGTCAAGTGCTATATGAGCAACATCATCAGGAACTTAATTCAATTAAGATCATGACAACATCACGGCAACATTTCATATTATTAAGCAATCTTGGTATCACTAATGGGATAAGCACCGAAGTCAAATATTCATATTTGATTATCTGCTTAATAATTAGATTTATTAAATGCCCTCGTCACCAATCTCTGTGGGAAGTAGTAAAACATGTAATCGTAGAATTTGTCCATTTTGGCTTGAGTGAAACTGTACTTAATAAAGGGATACGGTTGTTGTTTTTTTCCCGCACAGTTCATTGAAATGTAAAGTCTCCTTCTAGCATGTCATAGTTGTAACGTAGACACGGTCGAGCCATGAATACACATTCGGAATTAGCGATCAGATTTAATGCAAGAAAGTTAAACATTAATTTTTGTTTAACAAAAAAAATACTGGCTCAGCCGTTCTTTGTGTCGCTGAGCAAGATGTGTTCAACAATAAATTCAGCTGTGCAATTTTTTTAAAACATTATCCGTGTGAAAAAGAACTCCTCTTGACTCGATGATTTTACGATACTGAACGAAGGTCAATCCCTGTATGGAACAGGCCGCGAGCCACTTGTCATACAATAAATTTTCTTTGGTTTAATCTAACCTCACCTTCACTCTTGGTGATGGACTCGCCACTCGTGGTCGTTTGCTTGGAAGATTCCTTGCCAAGTGGGGGACTGGTGTTACCCGTGGCCGGTGCCGCGGTGTACGCCGTCTGGGTCTTCCCGGCCCCGTGTTGGCCTGCCTTCACCGAGGTACCGAAGCTCGGTGAATCGTACGACTCGAAGTTGCCGTAGCGCTGCCTGTCCGAGTCGGCCGCACCGCCCACGAATTTTGCGGCGAAGCTGCCGGCAAAACTAGCCGGTAGTCCGTGACCGTTGTGGGCAGAGGCATGGTACACATTCGTGGAGTGGTTTGTGTACCGTTCGTAAGCTTGTCGGTTGAGGGTATAGTAGCTCCCGGAGGAGGGGACCAGGGCCGTGTCGTACCCCTTCTGGGAGCTGACATAGGGGTACGAGGGGCTGTTTTCGTAGTCCTCACTCACCCCAGCAACAGACATCGGTGGGTAGTGGGTCATGTCACCTGATGAGTAAAGCCATGGGTTGGTATAGCAGCTTTGGTCGGTGGCTAGCGAGTACATGTTGGTAGCGGACGGGGGCCCCGCGGTCGGCGGCATGTTGTGACTGGCGACAGCCTGCGCCGGCGAATCGGCAAATTTGGGCGCAAAACTGCCGCTGCCACTCGGGCATTTGGTGGCAGCGAGTCCAGTCGAGCCATGGATGTCTGACTGCTGGCCGGATTTCAGGATGGCACCACTCTCCCCTGAATTTATCAAGGAATTCACACAAAACGCCGAAGTTGTCATTTTAATGCCGGTCGTATTTTTCTGGCGATGCTATTCCGGCTGAACCAAGTCACTCTGGGCGATAAACCTTATACGACCCTGCTGGTATAAAAACACGCAAAAGAGAGGGGTCTCAAATCAGTCACGTGGCATATTTGGACCAATCAAGCACGAACCTCCGCACCTGAATTCGCTTTACGAACGTCCAAGGCGGTGTAAAATAACTCAGTTTTATTTGTCAAAATGGGATGTCCTCAGCTTCATAAAGTCGTAAATGCTAGCGTTTATGACGGCATAAAATTTGGGAAAAATAAAACCGTCAGGGCGTTAATAAAGTGGTCCCAGTCCACACCGGCTCATTTCAGTTCCGAGTGCGTGGAAGACACGTATACAGTCCACCGTGCGATGCGCTGTTGTTAGTTCCCGTATTGCTGCCACTCGCCAGCACTTCTGAGCGCAGAACGCAACAGTGCACAGGTACAGTAACCATTTAGACATAGGTTTGATCTTACTTCGCGGTAAAAAGTAAACAAATGTGCGGCGGGCCATGTGATTGGACAGTTCAGCTGTTGGCAGCCACATGCTGTACCGCGCATTGATGCATGCCAATGGCACACCGACTGAAATTTTAGTTCAAATGGACATGTACATATACAGAGTGACAATCGATGTACTTGGAAAGGCTGCCTCCCCATTGAAGGGGAGGGGGTTCTGATGGTGATAGCCGGTCCATTTCTTTTCCTCTAATACCGTCATTCACCGTTGAAATAAGTGTGCCAATTTTGCACCGTGTGCATCGATGACGATGAAACTGATTCCATAATCCCAATTACTGGATAAGAAAAAAAACTTAAATTCTGCCCCAAGTCTCATAACTCTCGAGTTTCCAACGGTATTTAAAACCGTGTAAATGAATTCGCTCTCCAAGCTAACTTCACTTTTTTAACCCCCCAAAAAATTGTTATTTTCACCAATTACAAAATAAGTGTCATTTTGTTTTCAAGATTATGTAAAAACTGATTTCTTGGTGCCGTATGCACGTTTCCAACTAATAACATTGACCTAAAGAATCTATTTTACTTTAACGCGTTTGTAATATTCATGTAGTTCCTGGTATTCGGTGAAAGTGAAACAGACAAAGGGGACCCGACAACAGTTGCCGCTGTAGATTTCCCAGATTTTTTTTATGATTAATTCGCTGGATTTAGCACAAACAATAGTAGTAAAAGTCTTTGAAATGGCCTCTCAAGGTTGATCGGTCCCCCAGATTTAAATTTACTCCTCTTTGTGGAATTGTGTATGGGAAATGGGGAACTGGGCATTTAACCTGGAATACTGAACCAGAAATATTCTGACCTCCTCAGATTTCTTCCAACGTCTCGAGGGAAGACCACGGTATCGATTTCTGGACTTGCGGAGCAGAGCAGCAACGCGAGGGAGCATTTAAGTTAAAAATTTATGAAGTTTATTTTCAATTTATTTCACTTTTATTGATTTCGAACTGTTTGCGACTTTTCTAGCACGACCGATCATGAATTTTCCTCGCAAAGGCAATGGAATATGTTTCAATGTGTAGACTGTTTTTGTTTTCCCTTAATAGTTTTATACTCCGTGTTTGATCTCCTTTTTTAGAGGAATATGAAGTTTTTGTTGGGAAGTACTCAGCACATTTGAACAAAAATGACAAGTGAACCTCCTCCAGAAAGCGCCGTATAAGCGCCCGCACATACATGTGGACGTATGTTATTTTAAAGTGCATGCAAATTCATAAGGGGCACTTTTGACGTAGGCCTCTCACTTTTGTGACAATTACAAAAATAATTGGTGGTAAATTAAAAAGTTTAAAATTAAATTAAAAAGTTTACTAGGCAGTCATTGAAAAGCCTCCAGATTTCTAATCAGTTTTGAACATGAATTCGAAAACTTCCGCACAGGTATTCTACGCGTTTAATTGTTGAGAAAAGGCTTCCAATTTTATTCTTCAGAATGTAGGATCTGATTTTACATTTAATGCAGGAACATTACTGCTCTACACTGTTCAGTGAGTCGGGTCACAATATTCGTTCATTGTGAGTAGGATTCCATCAGAAAAATCAACTTCATTAAAAGATGTAATATGATTAAGGGGGATCGAAATGTGAACCACGTTCCGTAATATCTGACCTGCGAAAATCCCGCACCAGAACTTGGTCAGCGAATGTTACCAGTAAACTATACAGGCCATCGCGGTCCATTTGCGGCCTGGCCAGGACTTTTACCCGCCGAATAAATCCGTCAGAGCACTCAAACATAGGGTATCGTTCCGGTGTTTTAGCCGCCGCGGAAAGATAGCAAACGTTGCGGGTTGTTGCCTTGGCAGATTTTTTTTTTTAAACTAGGGTCAAAATATTTCGGCAATGAATTTTTTTAAGTTAATTCCACATGAGATTTCAGTCAAAATGAACACTATATTTCCTGACCTTCCGACTACTCCCCTAATAACCGTTCATTCTATGATTTCTTCAGACAAAAGGCAATATCTGAACGCCACAAGATTAGTGGAAACTCTTCACTTGGTGAATACGATATTAATTACGGTACTTTCTAATATATCAGGTTTCATTTTTAAAACTTGAAGAGTTTAAAATAAATGTATTTGTTTTCGCAATCAAAACGAACCGAAATGAAACAATTTGACTGCGCATGTACAAGAAACTGGGAAATACAGTAGAAAGAAATTTATATATATTTTTTTTATTTAATATCCTCTTAAATTTGATCTTTCAAATATTCCAATGTTATCGTATTACGGTATAGTTTTACTTTTCAATTGAGTTGAGATCCAGGTATGACGGGTGAAGGGATTTCATGGCTCTGTTTGTGGAACGCATCTCCTTGAAAATACTCGGTAGAAATGCCCTATCCCAATATACGTTCCTTCAATTTCCATTTGCACTTGTCAGACGAGGAAAGAAATCACCGTGGTAATTACTCATCGTTAGCAGAAGAAAATGGATTGGGCCCGACCGGGCCAACAAATCGACGAACAATAACCCACAGCCGGATGGGGTTAAGCTGGGTTAACTGCTGAATCAATCGGGGGAAGAGACGACCCTGATGGCTTCAGCAGGCCCTGGCGCTCACGCGTCTTACTCTTCTTCGACAATTCCATCACGGACTTTTGTTTCCAAAGTTGCACAAGATCTCCAGGCGACAATTTAAATTATTCAAGCTGGGAGCTTAACGAGGACAATATCTCCAGTTACACCTTTCAGGGTTAAGAGGGAGAACACAAAATACAATTTTTTAACTATAAAATACCCATTTCTAATTAAATTATTCAATAATGTTCGTGATTTTTTTCTTTTCAAATTATACTTTTATGGCATTTGTCATGTTTGTGCTGAGCCTAAAACCGTTACACCGTGTGAGAAAAAAATTGTTAAAAATGCTGGGTGATGTGATTTTGGTGAAAAACTGTGTTAAAATCACTTCTACTACTGACTATCTTTGAGGATATTTGACCACTTCGGAATAGTGTCGGTAATTGATATTTTTGACCAGTGCTGGGCCAAAATAATTTATTTCGTTAATTCGGTAACACTGGTTTTTAGACATCACTGGGACATTAATTAGTTACATCACCTTACCTTATCTGTGCGTGTAAAGTCGTTGGGTTTCAGAGAAATCTTGGCGGTTCTGACGGTGCATGTTTCGGTATTGCTCTCATTCTCAAAGCATTTCCTGGAGACATCAGGTTCATGGTCGAAACATGACACGGAATCATAAACAAAATCCTGAAGCGAACAAAGAATCGATACCCCTCGGCGATTTCGAATGTTCCACATCGCACAGTCTCAACGCGCAACTCGAAAATGTGAACATGTCCAAATGTAAACTGTTTTTAAAAAATAGTCAGAAGTTTCCACCAAAATTTGGAGAAGTGGTTTTATTCATCGGCATGTTGTAGTGAAGATTTTTTTTTACTTCTTTTTATTCGTTTATAGGTTACTAACGAAACCAGAAGCTCCTCATTTCCAGGTAGAAAGTCCAGGACTATTTAGACCACAGGTTGTTTGGCAATGGATGGATAAATGTCCCCAGCAGGAGTGCTAATTACTTGATTGAATCACGGCCTCACAGGACGCCCATAAAAAGTACTTTGAAGCGCCGCAGCCTCTTTCACCATCACCGCTAACCCAGCTAAATGGTCCCGGCCGGAGCCGCGCGAGGGTCTCCCAGTCGGGGTATCACATTCCCACTGAACAGTCGTCCCACCTAACTTAATTAGCACCAAGGCATGAGAGATAACGACCGGCATCTTCAGATTTGTTTAGGGTAAAAGCGGGACCGCTTAATTACATCCGCATGGATGAGGCGAGTTGGACATCGTCAAGAGGCGATGATATGTCTAAGTTTTGGGGGTATTTTTGACCACAAGGTACACAAGGTATGCCTGCAAGCTCTGGTCGGCACAAAAGCTGCCTGCGGTCATGCTTGCAACGCTTTCCTGGACGGGTAGCCGTGTAGTTTCTCTGCTCATAAGGCGACCTTATACTTACAGTAACTGTTCAAGACTTGTCAAACAGTTGGTAGCACCTGCCCCCAACCCCAACCCCAGAAATGCAGCACGTGGGTAAAGACAGCTAGAGAGACGATGGAGAGACACGTTACAGTTACCATGTAATCGTTCTTTATTTGTGTAAAGAATGGAGCCTTCTTTGATTTCCAAAAGTGCCTGCTGAGTTTGGCATCTGTGATAATCCCATTCGCTCTTTTGTTTTGACACGTATAGGAAATTGTACTTGTCTTGAAATAATTATTCAAAATTCTGTCATCTTATGTTCATTTACTTTGGTCACCGTGAAGTTTCTCTTCGTGCCTTTTCTCTGTTGTTAACTGTCTGTAGAATTTTGTGAAACATGCAAATAGTCTAATACTGATAGAAACTGTTTTTCCAGAAGTTACTGGAGAAACATTGAGAATTCTATAAGTTTCTTCAATCTGAATAGACGCCTGTTGTGATAAGCGAAGAAAAGAGGAGCGATTTTAAGGAAAACGTCATTTGAAGTCAAATCTGAATTTCTCATGGTTTGCACCTACTGTTTCAATAAATCTTCCCTTCCAAGAGAAAACTTGTTGAATACAATTTTCTCAACTTACAGCCCATTCGCCATTTTATCTTTGTTGCTTGAGTCTACGAGCACAAAGTCTCCTTAGTTTGTCTCAGTGTTAAAGACGCGTTAAATAGGATCGCAAATGATTTGATAAATTCTCCTGCTTAATCCATAAATCAACAGGTTTGACGATGAGTCGATCTGAAAGCCCACGGCTAGCCTTGTCCCTTCGCGTCAGTAATTGTCAAGTCCAACGTTAAGGAGGAGATAGCCACCCACGACTGCGAGAAAGCTCGCAGGACGAAAACAGAGCCGGTACGGGTTCGGCCATCTTCACGCTGCGCCGAGCAGGCCCTCGTAGAGCAGTGGCGGGCTGCGGCAGGGTACTCGCCCGAGGGAGCCGGAGGCTTGGTTTAGAGGCCGGTCGGCGGATCACCAACGGTCGGAGTTAGTGTATTGTTGGCACATGCTCGCGAAGACTGTCTGTTGAAAGAATGTCAGCGGGGTTTGACACCGAGTTGTCTGCTTACTTTTGGACTGGGACTGTAAGCTCTCTTTTTCAAGATGGGTATTTATCAGTTGTCATGAAGGTTGTTTTCGCTAAGCCTACGAATACAGGTAAGAGTGTTAGGATTATCTGCTGATTTCAAGGGCTACAAACTGCCGTTTTTTTCTCTTGGGTTTTAATCCATATTAGGCCCTATATTTGGAATAATTTCTTAGCTTGACTGCACAGATAAAGTTTTAGAATTAATTTTGTGTTTAGTCTGCCTTTAGACTTTGGAATCATTACGTGCCCTGAGCTAGCAAACTCCCTGATTTAAATGTTAGGTTTTCCATTGTCCTGTAGGTATCAATTATTTCATCGTTTTGCACGGATATTTAAGCTACAGCTGTCAGACCATATAAAACGGAAGCCTGGGAGTCGTTCTGAAAACTGTTCACGGTCTGGTGTCAGCTCGAAGTAAAACAGGCACTTCTCGTGAATCACAGCGCAAGGCTGTTCCGCACCGTCGATTCAGAGAATTAAACCGATCAATTAATAATAAGTGAGGAATTAAACATGGTCCAGCAGCCCGCAAAATGCTGCCTCGTATATAAAATTTTCACAATTGCATTAGACGAGCAAAAGGGTCTGTTCTCCAGTCGTACCCATTGCCTCCCACCAAAACACATAACACGTTAGTTGAGGGTTTTTAAACCCAATTATTAAAACTTAATATAGGCCCTACTGCAGATTTAATTTTTCAACTCTTGAAGACAAATGCGCTCCCACGTTTGCTGGCCTTCTTTTCTTTTGGGGGGGAATAGAGCAGGTTGTAGGGGGAACCCAAAACGAGGAGTGCGAAAACATCTGTTTTGCCCATTTGTGGCCGGAGAAAAAAAAATCAGTAAATTTAAAGATCACTTTTGGAACCGACCTTTGGCTTTGTGGGTAATTAATGGGGGCAATAACCGCCGAGTCATTGACATGTTTTCTATTGAATATCAGTCGGCAATGTCGTTAGTTATTTTGGAATCTTGAGTCATTTTTAGTCGCTTAACATAGGAACAGAACAACGTTTGGTTCTTTCTCGAAATGAAGTTATGTTGATTACTCCGATATTCTGTCACTTCCTTGACATATTCAAAAAAGTTTGACAGGGTTATCTTAATTTGCTAAGCACGTTTTGAATAGCGTCAAACCACGGCGCAGAAATGTACCAGTTTGCTCCGCTAGGTTCTAGCTATGTATTTGGAGTATTTTTCCAATGTTATTGTATTCATACTTACATTTTGTATTTTTTGTCAGAATTGGCACAACACAGACTACAATAATATGTCGGACTTCTCAGAACAAATTTGAAACACTGCTACAGATAACGCTGTTATTTTATTCATATGATTATGCAGTTCTTATTCCCAGAAGCCAGTTTTAACATTGTCTTCATGGCAAACGCTTAAAGGTCTTCTGGGGCTAAAATCTACATGTAGTGCTACGAACTCACAGTAACAGCTGATGGGCACGACCATTTCGAACAAATACATCGCTTTCAAAACGGAATAAGTTACTGAGGTATATATCATACATTTAATGAAGGTGGAGAAATGGTGAAATTCAATTTTCTAAACAATGACATGATTAAAGCGATTTTAAGTTCAAGGTATCTCAACGCAGCCCGTATGACGATGAGGCATGACTTATTTTCTCCTTTCTGTTATTCAAAATGTCATAAATATATGCTGGCATGAGGCGAGCGGCCTGCTCCACACTCTCCGAAGATAGTAAGTGTGATTAACATTTTGTTTGAGGCTATGTTGGCGTTGCATGCTTCATGCTCGTCTGGACTCATCTCGCAAAAAAATCTGATCTCAGCAACACCAGGGAATCCCCACGTGGTCCGAACTGCGCGAACAGAACAGAATTGTCATGTCGACTGGTGACCGCGTTCATGCCCCGACAAGTACCTGGCCGTGTTCTTTAATTGTGGAAACTATAATTGTCTACAAAGTTCCCAAGTGTCAAGCTAAAGAAGGGGATCACTAAAAAGTCATAAAAATAAGCCCCGTATTTACATCACCCTGTACGCGTCTAAATATAAAATTCCCTCGCACAAAAAAAATACTTGGGGTCAATTGGCAGTGAAGGGACCGGCTCGATTTTTATGGTTGGGGCCAAAATAAACTTCCAGTCCAAAAGTCATAAAATGATATTATTACTCACAAGAAAAACCATAAAAAGCTTACCTTGAACCGCCGAGGCCTGCTCGTAAAATGAGGCGAACGACGACTAGCTGCGGCAGAGGGGCGGGCGGGCAAACTAGTCTGTGGGCAACAAAAATTACAGCAAGTCCACATGTGAACTCTCGCGCCGTGTGTGCTGATACGTCATCAACTCGTCGACCAGTCACGGGTGATGTGAGTTTTTGTGTAGTCTGAGTATGCGCAGTTCAGGTTTCTCCAAGTTGTTGGTTACGTTTGATGAACCCGATCCGGTTTAACTCATATGTATCCAGATTTTGAGAAAGCTGAAGAATTCCACGCGACTGGAAGATTACTGCAAATTGCACAGTGAAATAAAAATGTATTTCCATGATCATTTAAGGGACGCATGGGACATGAAGCGTGCAAAATGTGCAAGGTGTACTGCTCTGTAACCTGGGCAAAGCAAGGATCCCATCGTCACTGTTATGGAGCACATAGATAGAAGAAAATATCATTCTGTTGTCTTACCATTTTTTTCTGTTTATGAGTGCTTGTAGATGATATCAATGATGTTTGATGTACAAGGCGGATTTTGTCTGGAATCTTGCGGAAAGTAACACGTGCAAATTGCGGTATTTAGTTTGATAAGACTCGGCCCGCGTATGTTCATAAGTGTCAACAAATACCTATTCTTCTTTCCATCGACTAGCCAAGAGAGACGTGAGGCCAAAGGTTAGGTTTCTCTCAGCAACTCGTTCAATACCAACGGTGACGATGGTGATTCTTGGATGCGTAGGGATGGCACAAAACATGGCCTACTCGAGAGGCCACAAACATTGAAACGCCAACAGCTTCAGTGGAATTGCCGACTTGAAATCTTGACAAACTGCATGTTACCGACATTAAAGCCGAAGAAAATTACTAATCTCATTTGTGACAACGTAACTGTCCTTTAGCATTGACCGTACATCATCCACTTGTGGACCAATGGGAAATAGATTGGTACTCGCTTTATTTTCTTTTCTTATTCGCCTCACTCAATTGGCCTCAGCTCAATCGCTCGGGCAAGTGCGATCGAACCACGGCCGTAAAATTTGAGCGAGTGCAGGCGGATTGATAGCTCTCGGAGAGGGCCTGTCCCTCCATGATTGCTTATTCCATAATTTTCTTCCACTGTAAATCACGTTAGAGTCGACAGTGCCTTTCTGCTCCTGATAACAACACTTATGAGCTAATTTACGAAGCTCGGGTATTTGAGAAATCACACTGTGGAATTGGGCAGGTGAAAACTGTAACGTAAACGCCCGTCTGTTATTTGGGACATTTATAGATTGAAGCTCCTGAAAGGTTCCCTGTGTCCGGTCTTAGCCACCTTATTTTGTTTCTTAAGGTTAATTCCAACCTATGTCTGCCGTGCAGAAACCAAGATTCTCATGTAAGTTTCTTAGATTTTGATAGTTCAAACTCTCTCAATTGTCTTTGTAGAAGCTGTCAGTATTGTGTGTGCGCTGTAAAACTGTATTTACAGATGCAATTTCAGTTGGCCAATTTCGGTTGTTACCGGAAATGTCCCATTTCAATTACTGACATCAGCTGGTGTCCTGAAATAGGGAGTCCAATGAGCCTTGTGCAAACAACAGTGGGTGGTTTTTATGCGTGTATTTGACTTAATGTTACAGGAGAGTATTCCTAGTGTAGTTTATGGGATTGTAACAAAATACTCTAATGCAATCTATTCTAGAATCCCTCAGAGCACGGAGTTCCTACCTGTATGCCCAGAGTGGTTCTTCCTGTTCTGTTGAAGAGGTGCTGCTACCACGATGTGGGCACAGTTTGAAGCAAGTTTGTTTTTAGGAAAGTAGGTCAACAAATTGTGGGCAAATCCATGTTGTAGTATTTATTTCATAGGCTGTCATGTTATCATATCCTCTACCAGTACATGTGATATGTGTACATCGCATGTACGGTAACAGATGTATGGCTCATATTGCATGACATCGAGTGTTATCATTCTTTGAAGTAATTATTCCCCTGGGATCGAGGAAATCTCATTTATATTGCGAGGAATATCACCATAAATAACAACCATTGCTGTAAGTCTGCACTTTTGAAAATAACTTTTAGAAATATGATGTATATTGGATGAACATACCGTCAACATGGTTTGCCCAAATCCAAAATTTATAGAGGTAACAACGGCGTTTGGTGTCGTCATTTTATCGTTGTAAACATGACACAGTACCCTTGTCGGCAAAATTAAGAAATTACTAATGCGATCTCGTGAAATGATTATGATCTCAACACACCGATAGGCCTACATGTGAAGCAAAACCCAAGATTGGTCTGCAGGAAAGGAGAATAATGTGCGCTGTCATAAACATTTCACACAGAACAAAATTGACCGTTTTGTGTCCCAATACAACCAACGTCCCATATAGTTCTTGGAATGCGACGTCTTATTTAAAATGAAATTCAGTTTTCTGCATTGTTCTTTTTGAAGCCGTTTTATAGTTGTTGGGAAATAATTTTAAGAAATAAAATACCAAGTGTAACGTTTGGTATTTTTGAAATGTTACATGTTCAGCTGCTATCTACATGCATAACCTAACTGAAATTGGTCCTGGTACTGTGACAGGAAAGGAACACCGCAAAATGTCCAGTGTCAAATTAATATGACGTGTACTGACAAGTGGCTCAAATAACACGTGGTGTTAACCGAACACCTCAATTGGTGCAGAACACAAAATGAAGGGTAGAAGACAAATGGTCCTGTGTCAGTATTTGGGGAGGACCAAGGGTCTTGTCATTTGGGTTTTGGTACCTGAAACGTGCGGATTTTCTGAAGTAAGCACAGACTGATTGTCAGTAAAGAACTAAAACATTTCCGAGGATTTTCATGGCTGCCATCTTGCAGGCCAGAGATTTGGTCCACA